CTAATTCCTACAAGTAAAATGTTGAAGGAAAACAAGTGAACACTTGTCATTTTCAAACTGCCAAATCACCCTGGACAGGCGTGTTAACAACAGACATCCCACCACGCCTGTTTCTCCACAGTCAAGCTGAGGGAGGGAGGGGGGGACAGAGGGATCGAGTGGAAGAAACCAGGCCCACGGACCACGCATCGCATGGTTCCATTTCTATGAAGCTCGCCAACAGAGTAGTGTGGCCAGCGGTGGGCGTGAGAGCAGGGACACACGTGAGCCACCTCTGGGGGTGATGAGCACGTTCTCAGACACTGGATGGAATGCGGTGATGGTTGTACCATGCCATTAACCGACCAAACAGGATCACAGGCCACATACGAATTTTAGGGTAGGGGAATGTAATTTTATGATTAACAGGCAAATTTTATGGAATGTAAATTATACTTTCCCAAAAAAGGGGCAGGAAGAAAAGCGGGCGGGGTGGGGGGCATGGCTACGTCCACCTCTAGGACCTCCAGGACCGTCGTGTCTCACGCGCACAAAGAACACCCTTGCGTTGCTTCCTCTTTCTCTGCATGTGTGTGGGGTCTCTCTGTGCCCTTCAATTTGGGATCCCTGTGGGTGCTGGAATCTGGAGGCCACACGTGGGGCGTGTCACCAGTTGGAGTGTGTGGCAGCCAGCACCACCACCCAGAGAGCAAGGACACCAGCTCTTGGCATGTTTTTTTGGAATGTCTCTTTTGACTCTGCTGATAGTACTGCCTCGTGGACGATTTTCATTGTAGTCAATCTTCTCTTTCTAAGATTTTGGTGTCTTGCGGAGAAAGGTCTGCCACCTTCCAAGATGATGATTAAAAAAAAAAAATCCTCAAAATTTCATTTCGTCCCTGTTGTGGGTGCAGTTTGGATCTACATCTTTGATCCAAATTGACTTCGACAAACTTGGTAATGAGGCAGGTCTCCTGTCACCTGGCAATATCCTGGCTGTTCTTAGAGGCAATGCCCATTGAGAAAAAGAACCTGGGCTTGCCAGAAGGTTTTTAATCCTGTGTCAGAGGCCTGAGATTCAGCGCACCCACCCCTGCCTTCTAGCTCCCCTGGGCCCAGCACACTTACCTCAATGGCTTGGTGCAGAGACTTGTCATATTTCTCAATGAACTCCCGCCGGATGTTAAGCAGGTCAACCTCACTCCGGGAGACCATGATCCTGGTGAGGGTCTTCTCATCCGTGCCAGCACCCTGGTGGAGCGGGGTGAGAGTGAGAGGGGCAGGGAGACAGAGTCCAGGCAGGCCCTACATAGTGGTGTCCCTCTGTCCCTCTTCCAAAACCAGGGTGAGACGTTCAACCTTCAATCGTCCTGACCGAAGTGGATTAAACAAACCACAACAGGATGAAATTAACAGCAGCAAAGACCAATAGCACCTCACTGCCATCGAGTTGGTCCTGGTTCACAGTGACCCCTTAGGACAGGGTAGAACTGCCCCTGTGGGTTTTTGAGACGGTAATGTTTAGGGGAGTGGGGACTGGCCGGGTGGAAAGGCAGGAAGAGCCCATCTCTGCCCCAGGGAGATAAGCACACCTCCCGTGGAGTGAAAGCCGGGTCCCAGCCCCGGGTCTGCCCTGTAGAAATTCTAACAGCCTGGGCAAGTGCTTACCGCACCTGGTCCCAGTCTCTGCTCCGCTGAAATGAGGGCACTACCACCACCTCAAAGGATCACCAGATGGGTTAGTTGTGCTCAAAGGGCCAAAGCACTTGGCACAGGCTTAGCACACGGTGGTCATGTTGGGGTCCAGGGCTGAGTGCTACAGATAGCCTGTCCGGGGGCTGCCAGCAGCTGAAGCTCCAGTGGCTAGCCTGACGGTGGCCAGTGTGGCTCCAGCTTTCAGGAAGAGCAAGGCGAGTCTCAGAGCTGCGCGCCTGCGACCTTTGACAATCATTGTCAAGGGAGACACTGTGTCCCTGCTAGAAGGTGAGTCCGGAGAGGGCAGGGACTGTCCTGTCTACCTAGCCCTACATCCCTGAGCAGGGTTTCTCGGCCTTGGAACCTTGGGCCTGCTAATTCTCTGCGATAGGGGCCTGTTCTGTGGATGGTAGGGGGCTTAGCAGTGCCCAGGCCTCCACCTACCAGATGCTAGTAGCACCCTCTAGTGTGATAACAAACAAGTATGTCTCAAAGTCCTCAAATGTCCCCTAGAGGCGGGATCGTCTCTGTCAGGGTGGGGGAGTCAATGTCAGTTTAATATCATAAAACTAAAACCCCAAGCCCTGGGCAAAGGCTTAATGTCCCTGGGCCCCAGTCTCTTCCTCTATAAAATAGGTCTCCCCTGGAGGCGGACAGAGGATGGAGGCCGGAGCCGACTTGGGGGAGGGAAGCATCGTGTGCCAGGAGGTGTTTGTATGGAGAGGAAAAGCTGCGGGGGAGGGGTGGGTGGGTGCAGGGACAGTGGTCCCTTACCTTCATGGATTTGTAGAGTTTGTCGGCAAAGAAGAGAGGCTTGTTCTTGACACTTTGAACTGGAGGGGAGAGGAGACAGGTGTAGGAGCTTGGTCAGTGGGCGAGCAGCTGCAAGTCAAAGGCTTCTATCCTGTCTTCTCTCCTCCAAGCGGGGCCCACAGACTATCGCCAAGCCCAGGGTCACCCCAGGTCAACGGCTGCACCCTACTGCTCTGCCAACCCCCATTCTCATGAGGCGGCTCCCCAAATCAGAAGAGGATCAAGGGAAGGAACTGCCCGTGAACCCCAATTCAAAGGGCACCAGATGGACGGGGAAGCTGCTTTCAGCTTTGGCTCTAAGGCTGCGACCTAGCGGCTCAGGGCGTGTCATCCCTGAGCCAGCAGCAGCAGGAGCATCACCTGGGCACTGGGTTGAAATGCCCCATCCCCCACCCTACCCCAGGTGGGCCACCACCTGTCTTCTCACTTGCCCTCTGGGGACGAGGGTGCTGGGTGACCAACCAGCTCCTCTCAGTTTGCCAGGGGCTTTCCTGATCTTAGAGCTAAAAGTCCACCCCGGCTGAGGCAGGGTTGGACTCTAGTGACTGCTGCGGAAACCAAATCCCAGGGGTGGGGTGGCCGTGCGCGTGGGGTGTGTGGATGCTGAAAGCAGTGGAGCCACACACCCAAACACCCAACCGGCTACCTTCAAG